GCGCCCGCACCGCCAGTCGATGACTTCGCCGCTCCCGTAGTCGACGCCGCTTTCGCTCCTCCGGTCGTTGAGCCGACTTTCGATCCCACTTTGGAGCCGGCCTTCGGTGAACCCGGTTTGGCCTCTTCGGCCTTCTCGTCGTCCTTTCCCTTTCCTTTCATACCTTAAACCGGGTTTTGAGATATAATTAGTTGTGTTTTGAATAAATGAGTGACAAAATCAGTATTCAGTTAATTATAGCGAGACTTACAGCAGAAGAGGCAACAAATAATAACAATGATTATCACAATCACTATCACTATAATCAAAATGATGATCATTGGCGACGATTTCTCCTCCTTTTTGGACTCAGCGGTTGACGAATCAGACGATGCAGGAGACGTGATGTCTGGGGAGAGAGGGGCCACTGTTTCGCTGCTATTGCCGCTCGTATTGCTAGCGTGAGCGCCGGCCGATGCACTGGGGATGGGTTTGACGGGCAGAATAGGCTTATCGAGCTTAAAAGTGGAGTTTTTGTAACAGTTGTAAAACTCGAACGCTTCGTACTGTAATCAAAGCATATGATAATTAAAATGCGTTCACAAACAGATTACCACCAGAAGCTCATCTAAGGGATGGCTTCAATTGCTTACCGTTCCCTTTTCGGGTATAGGAGCCTTCTGTTCAAAGATATCCAACAAATACCACTTTCCCCGCTCGAGAGCGAACAAATTGCCACTTTTGGATACCAGCGCTGTATAGCCGCGGGCCGCGGGCGCCGACTGGTAGTGAGCCTCGCCTTTGCCGTCGAGTTTCCAAAAGTGAATGAGTGTCTGACTGAAGTATTTGCCGATATACGGCACCCAACTAAGCATAGTCTTGATCAGACTATTACTCAAAATGTCGTGATAAGTCAACACGAAGACCACCTGTTGGGTCGGGTCGTACGCGGCGCCCAAATACGAGAAGTCGGCGCCAATGGGGAAGAACTTACTGGTGCCAGAAATGGGACTCTTGGCGGGCAATCCCCACGGCATTTGGCTGTCATCCTTGACGGCGACGAACGGATCTTTATGCACATCGTGCACGAAATCGGGATCCGCTACGACGGCCACATTATAGGCCTGGTAGGCAAACTTGGGTGGTGTCGACCCTACAGGGTTGTCTTGACCCACCATCAGAGCCTTGTAGTTGGCGGCGCCCATAAAGCTGCAGTCCTGTCCGCCCCCTTGTTTGCATTGCTGACCAAAATACAGCGCACCCGTGATGTCGGTGAATTGATCCGCTTCGGCTATGGTTTGCAACACAATGGGGTGGAGATAGGGGTAGGGATGGGAAGGGGTTTGCCGTACAATAAGAAATGTAATTGAAATTAATTATTTTGAATCATCGATGGAGTGAATGGCCAATAATTGTAATGACATACGGATAAAAGAGCTGGCGTTATTTAAATAATAGTACTTCCAGTCGGGGCCTGAAGTATTGGTTTTGATAGTGTAGAAGTGGAGTCCGTCCCCCGCGAGTATGTAGTCATCCATCGTAAACACCCGCGAGATGTTCGTCACAAACTTCTCCGGCACTACAGTGCAAAAATCAAAGGGCTCTCCCGTAGGCGGATGTGTCGACGCGATCTGTGGCCCGCCGTCCGTTGTGACCCCACCGCCACCACCAGCACCGCCGCCGCCGCCCGTCGCTGGGCTCGTCTGACCCGTCGCGCCGCTGATAATCACCAAACAGATCCATAAGAGCCGCGTATAAAACGACAACATTTATTTTCTTCCTCTCAGACACTAAATGGTAAGAAAAAGAAGACGAAGAATAGGATTAAGTCTTTTCCGTTTAGTTCGCAAAACAAAGTGATTGTAATTATGACAACGAATTGATTGTATTTTTTCAAATTATTGATTGCATTATTATTTCACGCAATTATAACAATTATACTGACATTTATGCTTTTATTTTGTTGTTAGCGTTAGTCTGTGAACACTGTTTACGGCTTGTATTCATTGTTGCCTTACTATAGCGCTGTTTGTGAGCTCAGATTAGGTTAGCATCACATTATCTGATCCATGTCTACACTATTTACAATTTGTCGCTAAATATTAACACATTTTTAATAAACAAATTTTTATTTTTATAAAATAATACTTTACGATAAGTAACAGTTAAATAATTAAAGAGTTTATTATTTAAATTCATTGACTAAAGACTAGAAAAATAATTACTTTTCAACTGTAATACGAGTACAGAATCTAACACTAAAACAGCAAAACATATCTCAAGAGGCAAACAATGGTTTGATGTCATTATTATAGTATTCTTGTAATGCCTTTCGTTTCAATTTGAACGAAGAGGTGACCAAACCGTTGTCTGGAAGCCATTCTTCAGCGCATAATTTGATTTTTGTTGGAATTTGTACTTTAGTTAAACCGGAGTTCACGCAAAACTCCTTCAACTCCACCAAAACCTTTCCATTGATATCCAAATCATCGCAAAGTTGTTTGATATCCATCTGCGAAGACTTTGACACACGTCGAGCCAACGCTTCCAATTGGTTACGATTGGGAACAATCAGCGCGTTTAAGCCATCGTTGAGTGAATTGCCGTAAACGCAAACATTGGCCACAATTGGCATTAATTTCAGTTTTTCCTCAACCTATCCATTAAATAGTGAAACAAAAAAATACCAAAAAATTAAACAATTATAAGGAAAATGTTTTCATAAAAACAAACACTAATTGTATAATTACTTGAGATAATGAGACGTATTCTCCATGAGATAACTTAATGATATCCTTAATCCTGTCGACGATGCGGATCGTGCCGTTGGCATACAGTTCGCCGATATCACCCGTGCGGAACCACTTCACCCCGTCGTCCACTCTAAAGTACTGTTCGGTTAGTTCGGGGTCTTTGAAGTAGCCGTTGGTCACACATCCGCCGCCAATCAGCAACTCTCCTCTCGCCACTGGACTCTCGCCCACAGTATCACTGGCTTCAGTCCAATCGACTAAATCTATTTTGATGAGCGCCCCGTCCATCGGTGGCCCCACTCGGCCCACACTCTCGTCATCCAATGTCATGATAGTGGCCGCTGCGGTCGTCTCAGTCAAACCGTAGCCTAAATTCAAATACAAATTGCAATTAAAATGTAAAACATTTGAATACAATCGCAAATATGACTTCACAAACCCTGTAATACTTTAACGTTAAATAAGTTACATATAAATCGATGAGTTTCTGGTCTGAGAGGCGCACCACCGCTGGCTATGAACCGAAGCCGACCGCCCATAAGGGCCGCGAATTTACGGCAAACAAAGTGATTGATTAACGGAGTGTTCAATCCGTTTGCGGCGCAGAAACTCTTGTATTTCAGTATAGCGTTAATTATGAGTCGCAATATTAGCGGTCGTTTGTCGACCTCATCGGTGATTGCTTTCATAATGCGGTCCAAAATGAGCGGAACCGCTGCCATCACTGTCGGTCGCAGTAGAGTTAAGTCTCCTCTCATTCCCTTCTGAAGGCCCAGCGATCGGTCGGTGAGTGTGTGGACAGAGCAGTAGCCGACGGGCACTCCGACCGACAGAAACGAGATTTCGGCGCATATTTCCAGACAATGGGCTAACGGAAGGAAAGCGGCGTAAATGTCTTCGCCGGGTGTGAGGGCGTCGGCGAAGGCGTAAAAGGCGCGGACAGCGAACAACAGGTTCTTATGCGATATCATCACACCTTTGGGAACACCCGTCGAGCCGGACGTATACATGAGTAGCGCTGTCTCGTCGCCGCCAATCGACTCGTCAGTGGCCACCGATTCAGCCGATTGTTCAGTCAATTCATTGCCCATTTGTTCAATGCGTTGAAATGAGTGAAATTCAATCGATTGTCTTTGAGTATCGGTAAACAGATCGTTGACCACTTCCAGCGGATCAGTTATCCCTGAGTTCATATGTATTATGTGTTTAATTGTCGGCATTTTGTCCACAATTGGGGCCAATTTGGCCAAAAACTCGTCACTCGTAACCAAATGAGTGGCTTCTGTTTGATTGACGACATGAAGGACGCCGTCGTCGCCGAGATTGGTGTAAACGGTAACCACGACTGCACCCAAACGCCACACCGCCTGACACGTGACCATCCACTCCAGTCTCGTGTCGGCGTAAATGCAGACAACGTCCCGACGCTTGACGCCAATGGCCCGCAGACCGGCGGCCACACCAGCCATACGACTGTTCACCTCTTCATACGTGAGCCACTGGTAATCGCTTAATGTAAACTTGCGTAACACGTGTCCGTCCGGCTGTATCTCGTGGTCTTCGGCCAAAAGAGGTCGATAACCAAAGCATCGGTTCCGCGAATACTGGCCGACAATACGGGCGAAGAGTTGCGCCATATTTGCCGATCTGTCGACAATCTGTCGGCGTTTGTCTTCGGCCGAGCGCTGATGGTTGACGTTAACCCACGCGCCGGACGGTAGGCTCGCATCCAATGGACGTCCTCTCATCGGTTCCGACTTCTTGGGCGCCGCATATCTTCGCCACAAACAGACCACAAGTGGACCGACAATAGAGCCGACGATCGCATAGATTATAAGGTTTGCCACTATTTTGATGATTAAGACTAACATTGCGTTCAATTCAGTGTTAATTACGTTAACAATAGATATTAAACGCGTGTCTTAATGGCCACAAAACGGGATCAATTAGTCCGACCACTGGTCACGTGATTACCACATGTAGTGTTGAGTCAATACATGTCATATGAATTGGAAATAGTGTTGAGATTTGATGTGATTTGCGATGAATTTAGTGTTTTGTTAGACAATAAATTGTATGACATTTACATTGCATGACATGTATAGCGAAAACGCCGGTTGTTTTCAGTCAAATACAAACACATTATGAAATGCATGTCTCAATCAGTGTCTGTAATAATCGCCACTTTTTGCTGTAAGCGCTGTCTATGCACTGCTTGTGCGCACACATACTGTACTGTACAGTATTATACAGGCACTACACAATACATGTGTATTTCACAACTTTGAATGAGTACTTTCCCTATGCTTTGCATTGAAAATACAGTATTGGTATGACTTGCGCCACATATGAGCCTATCTTTGCATTTAATTTTTTATAAACTTTTTAAAGTACTTTACAGTGCAATTTGATATTGGTTAAAAAAGTTTTTAATTTATTTAATAAACGCTTAATTGTGTGAAAAATTGATTTGTAATATCAATGTCCATAAGCCATGGTATGGATGGATGGGTTGGCGCACACAATAGGCCCTACTGTCCAACGCGTGGTTAACACACAATCAGTTCATTGAATATACTTTACCAGTGGTTTCAAAGTGCAAAACCAAAGCGACGATTAGTTTTTTTTAAACTTTTTAATCATGAGATAATCTGTTTATATTAAATGCAATTTCAATAACCTTTTCACTGCATATTTCATATCATAAGACATTATGTGTGAAAAATAAGTTCATATAAAAAATTTCAATATACGATAAGAAAGTAATTGACTTCTAATACTGAACTTAATATTAGGAAAATTACAATTAATTTTTAACAATTGGTGTTCATTGTTATCAATTGAAACAATATATCACAATTTATTAAGTTTTATTTACTACTGAAAACACTATTTCACATCATATCTCATTAATACGCTTATAAGTGCCCCACATATCAGACCAGATATTTAAAAACTAATTAATTATAAAGTTTTGTACATTTATTCAGACTGTCTGAAGAGATTTATACACATTTAAAAGTATGATAACTATAGAAATCAGACATAATATAAGGTATAAATCATTTTTATTTCGATAACAACCACTCGTTGATTATTACTATAACTATATTTACAATCAAATTAAATCATAACCTATTATAACATAAAATTAAATGAGAATCGGAGGCAAATTCAAAATCAAATTCATTTGAATCACACGTGAATTACGACCAAAAAGTAAAAACATATGAATTAAAACTGAATTAACTATAAATGTCACAAAAATCACAACCAATTTGTATCATTCATCCATTAGTTGACTCCACATTAATCCTACGGCTATAGTTAAGCTGCTGTCGGGCCCTCCACTCGGGCTTCACCGCAGACCTCTTGAGCGCGCCGTCAAT